ACTAAAAATATTATATTATTAAAATAATTAATGAAAAGATAAAAAATAAATAGTTATTATACATAAGTCCAAAAATGTTTTTATCGTAGATTTTTATAATTATTAGTTTTAGTAGTATAGATAGTCAAATAATATATTTTACATCTTTTTATTATATATTTATATCTTAAACATATACTATTTATCTCAAGCATGAACAATCATAATAAAAGTAATTCTGATTTTTTGGTAATGGAATTCAGTAGTCACGTTTTGGTTTTGGGATTTATTATTCACGTATTGGTATTGGGATTGATAAGTGACGTGATGCTAAGATGTGTTTTAATAAAGTTGAACAATGAATATTCCATGTTGTATCAAATTTTATCTATATTATTAAAACATTATGATTTTTTCTAGGTGAATTTTTAAATTGGATTATTTTTTTTTTTTGAATTATACAGAGGAATCCTGGCCTCACAGAAGTGATCTAGACTAGTCACGTGCAATTGGATTATCTCTTAAATGATACATAATATTATAGATTAGGTGCATACACATTATAAATAGGTTACTGATCTTATAACTATACGATTATTAACTTATATATATTACCAAAATATCCGATGCAACTAATCTCCAAAGATTCTATTCCAATTGTGTTGTGGAAATTAACAATTATATAGCAATTGTTTTCTAACCATCAGAACTGAATATCTTCCTTAGCAAATATATAAAAATTTAATCCAACCAAGATTTACACAGTATCTTACTGAATTATATATATATATATATATATATATATATTTAAGATTACTAAAATTATTCAAATCTTACTGAATTATATATATATATATATATATATATATTTAAGATTACTAAAATTATTCAAATTACTATTATTATAGAAAGTATCATTTATAAAAATATATGCTGCCATTTTTAACAAAAAATGCTTATCTCTACTTCAAAACAAATATAGATAACAATCAATATAAATTTACTGGGATACAAAAAATATTTACTAAAAAGTAAAATACTAAAAGTTAATTAATATGTCTAATATTGGTTATATTATTACAAATTATGCTTGATTTTTTTACGGTTAAATTTTTTATGGGATATTCTATGAGACGTACCAAATAATTATCAAATAAAAATAAATTGAACAATATATTATCATTTTTCATTATAACATATTAACATAAGCATTAATCAATGTGAGACAAATTAAAAATATTAATTATACCTAATTTCAGTTTCAAATCTTTTAAAATATACACAACTGGTTCTACTATTTTCATTTCCAAATGAACATAACTGTTATAATATCGGATTTCATATCGGTTACCCATCGGTTCAGCCGATTAGCTTCAGATTTTTGCGGTATTTGTGGATTTTATCGGACTTTTAAATAATAGATATTTCTTAAAATCTAAACATGGATACATATCAGATCACCGCGTATACCAGTTTGATTGCAGGTCCAAGTCAGGACTAAAAACGGTGGTTTAAATGTAATTATTTTTAAATAGTCAAAATTCTTACAGATTAATAAACATTTGTAACATTGTTAATACAATATTTTATCATACAAAATTTCACGTTTTAAAGTGCGGTTTAAAATCATTGAAATTTAATGAACATTAAATTTATTTATTTTATATAAAAATTGTATACAATATACATATATAAATATAATTATATTTTAAATATTTTAAAATGTATAATGTGCCCAGATCTGAATCCAGATATTCAGACCTAAATTTTCACTATTCGGATCCTCAGATTCGTAAGTTCACCATCCGGTTCCGGACCCTTCGATATCCATTTTTCGGAGCGAATCCTGGATTGAATAACGGATAATGGATATTTAACTTCAGACCTAATCATAAGTAACTAAACTTTCAACTAATCATCAAAATGCAAACAATTAAGTTTGAATTTGATTTTCCGTCTCGAACAAATGTAAATAATTAGTTTCTTTACTGCATGCTTATATCTACGTAATACGCTTTTATTCGACTAATGTAAATGCTTACATGAAGATAGATAATCCAGCATCACTTGATGGTTCGTGAGGCCAGGTCATTTTAGAAGTTGTGAAAAGAGCTGTATAAACTATATGATCAGTGCCATTAAAGTGTGACACAAAAGCACAAAAATATTTGTGCTCTTCCCAAATTTAAACAAGATTTTATTAAGGGAAATTGGGCTGTATAACGTAAAAAAAAATTATAATTAACTGATCGACAATTTACCCTAATATACTAGGATACAATGTATATTTTGTATAATAATACTTTTATGCCCCTACAAACAACCGGTTAATCTGGAAAGTTTTAAAAAATAAAAATAACTTTTTATCTTTCTCTCATTTAAGTCTTTGCCTCTTCTTCTTCACCAAAACTATACATGTTGTTTTTAGTTGAGAAGGTCTCAGATCTGTGGGAACGTCGACGACAACCACTGTGTACCTGGCGAAGAGTTTCTGCGAAGAGTTTCTGCGAAGGGTTTCGACAGATTCAGGAGTGTTGTGGTTCGTGAGATACCCGCATCGTCTGCTGCGTGTGTGGAAATTTTGGGCTCTTATTACTGAGTTCAGGAAAGATTTCCTCAGAGATAAGTAGAAGACGAAACTTTACAGAGTTTATCCCTTTTGGTTCTCTTAAATTCTTTGATTATACCTTCCTATGAGATTACATGTCGTAATCGGGATCTATAAAGAATTGGAACCGCAAGTTTGTGGTTTTAAGTTAGTATAGTATGATTGTTTCTATCCTCATTCATAACATAGTACGAGTTCTAATTACATAGTATGGAACCGATGCATTTAGTTGCATTGGTGGTTGTGTGTTTCTTTTTGGATTTTTGTATGGCTTTATGTTCGTATAATATAAAAGATTTTTTAATGCACTACATTTCTTCCAACATGTTCTTATCTTTTGGAAAGTTTCACATTCATTCTGATGGTTTCAAAAAAAAAAGAAATCAGATGTAGTTGAAAGTTTACGATTTACCAAAAATAAGTGTTTAGAATAATTGATTTGGCATTGTAGTTATTATTGGACGATCTTCAGCCTTAATTTCTCCTGGCCTCTGACCTCATGTGTATTTGTCGACGTCATCCCTTAATAATGTTACCGGTTACTTGACAACGTTAAGGATATAACCGGATAGAACAAGCATGAAATGTTATTAACTTAATAATGTCAAAATCAAAGTTACTTTCTTAATTTTAACTCTAAAATTGGTTAGCTGCCAAATTCTCCCTTTTACTAAACAAAGAATACAACAAAAAGCTCATATATTACCATATTTTAGGCATATTTTTTTACAATCTTATTAGGTGGGTTATCGAGCATACGACTCATATCATACTTCAAACGATTAACATATTATCCATGATCTTGGGGAATGCTAAGCTCTAAATCATCCTTTGAAATGATTATTAGGATAATCAAATTATAATACTTGTAAACTGAAAATTGTATGGGTGTTAATTCCATAATTTGAAACTAACAATTCTTTGATGGAAGATAAAACAATGATGCAATCCTAGAACAGCATAACTACATAAGTTTTTATAATTGTCTTGACGAAACTTTAACTGAAAATAGATCATTGAAACCAGAAAATGTAATTAAGTAACCAACAACACCAAAGCCTACTGGTTATAGAATTCAAAGGACTATTGAAGGGAAAACTATTTTAATGGTTTGATCATCTTTCTCCCTTTCCAATTAGTTTGATCATATTTTTATTTTAATGGCTTAAAGAGAATAGATGAAATAAATGACATTTTTCTTAAAACTCCATATGTTTAGATGTTATTCTTCTATACTGAAGTTTGGTGGAAACACGGTAGCATAATGATTAAGGTATAAAGGTTTTTACATCTAGTTCTGGAGTTCAAATCCTAGACAATACAATTTCTTGTAGATTATAGGATGCGACGTTTATCAAAAGTTCTAGAGTATTGCAGATAGAGCCGTTTGTTGTGGTCGTCTGCTGCGGAGAGGATGCCTATCAAGGATATCCTACATGCATAATCGCCCGTCAATCCAAGTGTTTCGAGGAGAGCATCATGTGGATCATTATCTGTGGAGTTGCTCATTAATATCTCACATGTTGCAGGTAGTTTGATCATCATATGTAATAGTATTACGGATTATATGATGATGTAATAGTTACCCAACATTAAAAATAATTTGATGTGTAAATTATTTTGTCTAATAATCCAATATGTATCATTGAGGAAATTCAAAATCATCATTGAAGATAGATTTTTTTGGATTTTAACAAATGTTATATCCAATAACTATTGATATATATATATATATCAGATTCTCTTTTTTCACCTCATTATTCAACATACATTCAACATTTAAACACTAAAATAGTTTTGTTTAATAAGATTCAACACTCTATTTTGCTAAATAAATCTAATCTATATTTATAGATTAAAATGATAAGCTTTTATATAAGAACTAAAAATAAATTATTTAATTTATAATGAAAGTATTGGTTTTAAATAACTAAGAAAATATTAAAATATTAAAAATTCTAAAAAGTGACATATGGTATTGGTGGTCTTTACTTTTTTTTCTTATTCAATATATTGGATCTATTCAACACCAAATAATTCATTATCATCAAATTTTATTTGTTAACATCTTTATTGTAATGGTTGAATATCATATTAAACACATCCATTGTAGATAGTTGAGAGTCCTAGTCTAGAGAGGATTTAATTTGTAATTAAAATTTTATGAAACCAAATCTAATAAGTCCCACTTAGATTCCATTGTCCAAATCCCCTATAAACCCAGAATTTCTGTATCATACATACCGTATAAATATGAACTCATCACACAAAAGTCTTAGGTGGGTCACATAGAACTTCGAGAAAGCAAAAATTTGCGTTTATTATTATTGTTTTTCTCCTTCTCTCCTCTGCTTTGAGACTGTGACTCCACTTCTCTCTCTCATCTCCCAAGATTGCTTCACAGTAGTACTGAATGGCTCTTCTTCTCTTCTCTTGCTTCTTAACCTCTCTTTCTCTTGCTCATGGAGCTTCAACCATTCACATTTCTCCTTCTCAGCCTCCCACAGGTTTGTCTTTCTGTCTTAGGTTGCTTTTTGTTTTTTCTTTTACTATCTACATTTTCTTTCTGTTATCCTAGAAGGTCTTTTCCTTTCGTGGGAAAGTTATAAAGAGAATTCTTTTCATGAAATGTCACACTCCACCTTGCTCCAAAAACCTAAACTTAACCGAGCCCTTCAAAGATTCTTAACTGATTCACAATGGGCCTTACCTAAAATCTGAGGAAATCATCAAAACTCCAGTAAAGAACTTATGTAATTAGGTTTGGCCAAAGAACTTAAAAAAGGGTTCCAGCCTTTACCACTATATTTTTTGTTTTTTTGTTGTCTTAATTTCAGTCTGATTTGTCTCTTTCAGGTCTTGAGAACACCATTTGGGAAAATTCTACAAAGAAATTTATAGTGGCAGAAACGCCATTATATGGACCTACTTACAATAACCCTCAAGTGATTGGAGACGCTTCAGTGGCTTTAGCTGCTCAAAGAACATTCAGAAAGGATCCAGTTAATGGCTTCCAGAAATATACTGGAGGATGGAACATCAGCAACCACCATTACTGGGCTGTCAGAATATTTCTACTTTGATTTTCTTCTTGACTCCATCTTTTAGATGTTCATGTGATTAAGATTTGTCTTGTGTGTTTCAAATTGTAGTCTGTGGGATATACAGCTGGTCCTCTCTTTGCTGTTGCTGCTGCTTGGTTTCTTGGGTTTGGCATCTGCTTACTGGTTATATGTATGTGTCACATATGCCATAGAACCAAATCTATTGGATACTCAAGAGTTGCTTACATTCTCTCCCTAATCTTCCTCCTCGTCTTCACTCTTATGGCAATGTGAGTAAGAGAATACACCACACTTTTCTCATTTATGATTCGGGTTTGTTTTTTTCTTTTCATATGCTGAAACATGAGAGTATGAGTTCTTAGCAGTTTGAGTTGTTTCTTATCACAGAATTGGATGTGTTATGCTATACTCGGGTCAGATAAGGTACAACGAGAGCACAACAGAGACATTAACGTATGTCATGAGCCAAGCGGATAGCACTGTTTCACAGCTGAAAGCTATATCAGATTATCTTACATCAGCAAAGCAGATTAGAATTCTTCAGGTGTCTTTACCTCCAAATGTCCAAACTGAAATCGATCAGATCGGTGCGAAACTGAGTTCTTCTATAGCTACCATCACTGACAAAGCCACCACTAGCTCCAACAACATAAGAAATTTCCTCGATTCCGTGTAATAACAACTCTCAACATTTACAGAAGTCTAAGATTTTTGGTTCTTGAAAACAATGGGTAAAGATCATCTTTGTTATTGCAGGAGGGTGGCACTTATAGTAGTTTCCATTGTCATGCTCATTTTGACATTTCTTGGTCTCGGTAAGTCACTATTCCAAATCTCTTGTATGAATTCCTGCAATGTATTAACTCTAGTGATCCTGTCTAATTATCTTATGTTGCAGCTTCTTCAATCTTTGGGATGCAAGTCATTGTTTACACGTGAGTAAAACACTGAGATGTGCTTTGTGCCACGTTCGTGAATTAAACTATCTGAATCTCTCTTGCTCTTGTGCAGCCTTGTGATTCTTGGATGGATTTTGGTGACTGGTACATTCATCTTGAGCGGAACGTTCCTTCTGCTACACAAGTATGTCTCATGATGACTCTTCTTTAACTTCTTCTTCTTTGTTAATTCAAAGCCTTAATGTTCTTCTTGTTGGAACACCAGTGTAACTGCAGACACATGTGTGGCAATGAGTGAATGGGTAGAGAGACCCGCAAGCAACACGGCTCTAGACGAGATCTTGCCATGTACAGACAGTGCCACAGCTCAGGATACTCTGATGCGTAGCAAAGAGGTGACGGGGCAGCTTGTGGAGCTCATCAACACAGTCGTATCTAATGTCTCCAACATCAATTTCTCTCCAGTCTTTGCCCAAATGTACTACAACCAGTCTGGACCATTGCTTCCTTTGCTCTGCAATCCGTTTAACCATGACCTCACCGATCGCCCTTGCTCGCCTGGTGAGCTCGATTTGAACAATGCTACTCAAGTAAGTCTCTATGTCCCATTTTTAGCATCCCTCTTCTGTTGAAAACTATTGTGTTTACGCCACAACACTCACAGGCATGGAGCACTTTCGTGTGCCAAGTGAACACGAACGGGACTTGCATAACAACAGGGAGGCTCACACCGGCACTGTATGGTCAGATGGCATCATGTGTGAACATCAGCACAGGGTTGATCAACGACGCACCGTTCTTGGTTCAGCTTCAGGATTGTTCATACGCAAAGCAGACCTTCAGAGACATAACCAATAACAACTGTCCAGGACTCAGACGTTCTGGTTACAGGGTCTATGTGGGCCTGGCAATATTATCAACGGCTGTGATGCTCTCGCTTCTGTTCTGGATCATCTACAGCAGGGAGAGACGGCATCGTAAGGAAGCTTTGCCAGAATATTCAGAAAGTAAGGAGATCGTAAGAGTTAACTTCTGATGTACCTCACTTTGAGGTGTTTCTAAGTTTCAAGACCATTGATTTGTATTTCCATGTATGAACGCAACTTTGTGAGAGAAATGCAATAGGTTATGTATCAGTCAATGGAGCAGGTTTTTGTACTTTTCTTATTACAAAGATTTGTAAACACCAGACATTTGGTTTTCTAAGTTTTGGAGTTTCAACTTTCCAACTTAGCTGCAGCAGAAGCATAGCTGACGCTGCTGTCTCGCATTGTCTGGCACTGGCTCGACTGCTCATACTTGAGGAAGTTGATCTTAATCTTGCTTGAGCTATGTTTTATCATCTGAAAGTAATCACAAGCATAAAACAGAACAATTAGTTTTGATAATGTCTCCGACCACTAAGATCAACCATTATAATCCATTCATTAGTTGCCTCTAAAGACAAGTATGGACCAAGAAACAGAGAAGCAGGACTGCTTACATGGAGAAAGATACTAATCGGGTGGCGCCCACAAATGGTGTTGTCAAAGTCCACAAGATACTTCTTGAAAGCATCTGGATCTCCGGTCTCTATAATATCCATACCCATCTTGTCTAGTGCCTCAATAGACTTGTGTATAGGACCATGATTGTTATCATAATGCATGTAGTTAAATCTATAAGCAAAAATATTAAAAACATATGAATGAACACAAACATAGCAAAGACAAATGAGCTCACCGGAGGAAATGAGAGATGAAGTGAGCTAAGAAAGAGACAAACCTTGAGCCCCAGTGACAAAAGTCAGAGGACACTGAGAAAAAGTTCTTGGGATCATCCACATATTTAGCTAGCAACTCACCGTACATAGCTTCGTTTTCAGGACTTACTGCTCCAACCAAGATGGGCACAACTTTCACATCGTGCCTGATTCAAACATTAGAGTGGGGACAAACATTATTTCAAAGTTCCTAACAACCTTAAACCTTTACAATCATAGTTGATCATTCATTACCCTTCAAATACTTTAGCCAAATACGGCAAGTGCATTTCCATGCTATGCTCAGCTTCATCGACTTTGAGATCCATCATTCCAAATTTCCCCATAGCTCTTATCTCCTTAACCACTGGAGGATAATAATATGTAAGAAAAACAAAACCCAAAAAAAAAGAGGACATCTTTTAGATAGAAAAGCTTACTTACTGTCCACATCAACAGGTAGATCACCTATGGGAGTTTTGTAAATTTTTGCAGTGGAAAGGGCACATTTTGGAGTATAGTAATGGTGAGATGGACCAAGAAGAAATATCCTGGAACTGAAAACAAGAACAAAACGATACTCTTCTGAACCCATGATAAGATGTAATGAAAAGAACAAAACAACCATAGATTGGTTTACATGTTAGTAGGATCAATGTTTGCAAAGGCATAAGCAGCTGCACGGCCCGAGTACGAGTAACCTGCGTGTCTGAATTCCTTTGAAAAGTTTTAAGTATAATCACACGATGATATGAGAGAAAGAGAGAGAGAGGCAAAGACATATCTTACGGCGCAATGACGCCTCGGACAAGAGGAGATTTGGTTAAACAAGTTGCTTTTAGCCATTCTTCAAGATCCGATGACAACTTTGTAGCTTAGATGAAAAGAAACACAAAAAAACAGATTCTTAATCAAACCAGAGAGACACAAGAACAAGCGGACAATCAGAGAAAGAGGATTAAAAAGTCAAAACTTTGACTTTAGGACTGTGAAACTAAAAAACCAGAGACCAACAACTAATTCTCTGTCCTAAAATAATAAGGTAAATTTGGTCATGCAGATGAAGGAAGCGAGAAAAGATCAGAACTCACGATTGTCGGTATACCAAGAGCCAGCATGAGATGCTTGCCTCACTTTCTCCATTTCAAGCAGAGTGATTGAAGGATCGTGATCGCAGACAGAAACCCCAAAATCAACTTTCTTATGCTTGCCAGAGAGAGAGAAGAATAGAGAAGATTCTCCTTTTGTTTTTAGTTTTACTCTCTCTCTCTCTTCGGTCGCTCTAGAATCTCAATACCAGAAACGTTTGTGCCGTTTATGTTACTTCCTGATAAACTTCGTGCTGTTTTCTAATGGGTAATAGCAACTTGAGATGGGTTAAGTTAGCTTATCAAACTATTTCTTTTTCTTTTGTCACAAGCTTATCAAACTATCAATATCAAGTAAACAGAATATACTAGATATATTATGTATTAATTACTATCATACTTCGCATGTATGCCAACTAAATTTTTTTTTTTTAAATATGCTCTTTTTTTACTTTTAATTACTTTCTAATTCTTAATAAAATAATGAAATAATTTGTGAGATAGTTATGTTTGAAAAATAAATTAGGAGTATGTCATTGATTTTGATATAATTAGGTAACAAACAATTATGCATAAAGTTAGTCGCTTTTAATCTTCTCTTATACAAGTAGCAGGTAAAGGATAAAAGGTTAGATGACGTAAAAAAAAAATTGAGATATGACTAATATTTAGTTCACATCTGAAAGAATATAAAGAACCACGTTACACGTTTATGACCACATACATATGCATTAAGTGTTCCATGCCACATAAAATAATATAGATTTCTAATTTCACCACATACTCTAATACTTATACATTATTCCGTTCTCACTCCAACTCCTTAATACTAAACCAAAAACTTAAATACAAATTCTTAAACCCAAATATAAATCCTAAATCCAAATAGAATGAAAAAATTAATAAATAGTATAGTATATATTGGTAAAACTATGAAATGTCTATGATTTCATAGAAGAAATTAATGCTGACCTCAACTATACCCCTTCAACCATACCTCATAAACCCAAATATAAACCCTAAATCCAAATAAAATATAACAAAATAAATAACATGGTATATATTAGTGAATTTATGAAAAAATCTATGATTTTATGGAAGAATTTAATGTTGACCCTAACCATACCTCATCACCTTCTAAATACTAAACCCTAAACCATATTCACTAAACTATAAACCCAAATAGAATGGAACAAAATACATAGAATCATGGTATGTAGTTTAACAAAATAACCACAGTTAACTTACGACGAAATAACTCAATGTCAACCCCAATCATACATAAACTAAATTGTATCAACTAATCACTAAATCCTACACGAAAATATAAACCCTAATCCAATATCAACCCCAATTCTTCATAAACTAAACCCTAACAACTAATCACTAAACATTACATAGAAATATAAACACTAATCCAATATCAACCCCAATTTTTCATAAACTAATCCAAATTTCGAAATGCAAATAATGCATTTCCATTCTATATGAAAATACAGATTAGAAGTGGTAAAAAACGATATAGCACAGTACATATATATTGTTCAAATTTTGAAATGTCTATGATTATAGAGAAATAGATAATGCTTACACCAAATCCAGATTGATTGTAGCAAAAAGAAATGAAGATGGAGGCATAAGATGAAATAAGTGGAAGAGACAACATCATATGAATATCATTCTCATTCAACATCACATAGTATTCAATTTTATTTGATGTCATAATAAATTCTATTTCATTTACGTTCAATATATTATTTCTCTTTACAAAAATCATATACATACTAATATAAAACACATATATACACCAATACGAAACTCATATCAATAGATCATGAAAGAACAACAAACAAGATTGAACCCTCTCTTTTAAGCATCAAATGAAATATAACTTACTAAATAGTACATTATATATTAATAAACATGGCAAATAAGAAAATAACCAAATTTGAAAGAAAGATAGTCTATTCCATTTAAAATAGTATACAAATACTATTACCCTTCCAACTCATCCATGACAAACCTGAAGAACAAAATGAAAATGAAGACATATATTAGTTTACAAATTGGAAGGAAATGGAAACATGTGAGAAAGGCTACTAGTATATGAATTACTTTATACTTAGGAGTTTAATTTAAAATCATGTAAAAGCTTTAAATCAAAGTTTATTTTTTCTCTTGACAACGGCGAAGGAGATGGCGTTTCAACTCTAGGTTTCAATGGTCTCTCGTGGATGGGATCCTGGAGGATCTGGGGATATTTGGTACAGTGGAGATCGATTATGTGAGGAGATATCAGATTCGATTTGGTATGGATGGATCTGAGTGGTATTACAGCTCTGTGGGGATTTTGGTGGATCTGCTCGATTGATTGTGAATTTCGGAGGATCTGGTTCACGATCTCAGAGGCAAAAGGTTTGTTTCTAGGGGAATTGGGGTACGAGTTTCCTTTCTAAGGAAAAATATTCTCGTAATCTTTTGAAGATTGGAGACGATATCCTTTGGTTGGGATTTGAGGCGATTTGCTTTAACTATCAGGTGAGAGTTAGGGAAAGACTTGATCTGGTGCTCCATAGGAATCGTCATATTAGGGAAGATTTGGTTTTGATGGCAAGGATTTGTGGCGTGGTGGAAAGGTTCACATGACTCAGTATAAAAGCTGTGGTGGTAAGTTAAGCTTTTCCATCCATCTATTAATGGTGTATTGTGTAATCTCTCATCCCATTTGAGTGTTCTCGGAGTTCTTTTTTTCAAAGGAGATATGCCTCAGAGTTACTTGCTCGGGAAGTCTGATGGTTCGAAAGGAGAGGAGGGTACGAGGAAAAGACTGAAGATATTGGTGCCTCATTTTGATAACACAGCTCTGATTAAGAGTTTCTCCAAAACGTTGGTGGGAAGGTGTATGAATCATGGGGAACAGAAGATGGAGTCACTCTTTCTGATGCTACCAAAGTTCTGGAAGATGGAAGATAAGGCGGTTGGAGCGGATTTGGGTTTTGGTAAGTTTCAGTTCCATTTTACTGATGAAGCGGACATGATGGCAGTCCTGGAGATGCAACCCTATCATTTTGATTACTGGATTCTTTCCTTAGCCCGGTGGAAGCCAAGAATGACGTCTTGCTACCCTTCCGAAATTCCCATCTAGATCAAGGTGGTTGGATTACCAACGGATTTCTGGTCATCTGAAGTCTTCCAAAGTATTGGTGACGCGCTTGGTGTGACAACAGATGTCGGTTTAGATCTTGGCAAAATCAGGGTGGTGATTGACAACCAGAATGAGCTCTGTTTTGATACCACGTTGGAGCTCAAAGGAGGAAAATTTTATGATGATTGGGAGGTTCAAGTGTCACTGCAATTTGAGAAATTGTTTGGCTATTATGATGACTGTCTCAGCCTGTCTCATAATAAAAATAAGTGTCCTTTGCGGGTTCCATATCCAGTGAAGAGGGAAGGGTCTAGAGGGGCTACGGAAGGAGTGGAGGACAAGGCTCGAAGCTATAGAGGAGTGGTGCTCAATGGTGAGGCTCGCCACCAAGCTAGGAATAAGGAATTTCCTGGGTATGTGGGGAAGGGCAAAGGAAAGATGTATGAGGAACATGGGATGCAATGGACTCAGGTGTCTGAACGGAGCAACAAGCGATCGCAGGATCACAACTGAAACCGAGTAGTGGATGAGGCTTCCGGTCATCGTGGTTTGCGTCGAGAACAGATGAAAAGCTATCGTCATGATGGCAGAGGTGATCATTATCATAGAGAGGGAAGAAATAGGAGTCCTTCGAGAACCATAAGGGAGGAGCTTGGGGAGGAAAGAGAGATTCGCGATATTGATAGGACCAATCAGAAAGACCAGGTGGGGGGGGGGGGAAGGCTCAAAGGTGGAGGGTCAGGAAGTCGTGGGAGCGTTATCGGGAGTTTCCGATGAGGCAGGTCTGGTGCCAGCAGAGAGGGCTAGGGAGGTGGGGGAAGGTCAATCTTTACCTAAGGATACTGTAAGTTTTATTGGGGATGAAGAACTTCATAGTCTAACTGATGCAGAGCATAATGAAGTTGGTACGGAGTATGGAGATGAAATTATGGTTGATCAGGCTAAGGTTGACCATGAGAGGCCTGAGTGTAACGGTAAGGAGCTCGATAAGAATGCATGATCGCGGAGGCAACTGTTTGTTAATACAGTGGGAGGGAACCCAACTAAGAAGTTTAATCAGGTTTTACTCTCGCCTCGCAAACGGGGAAATGGTAAACAGGGCAATCGTGAAGGTGAAGGCACTAAGCATGCTGAGGAGAAGGGTCCGTTATACCCTAAACTGGCAACAAAGAATTGATTGTGTTATGGAGTGGGACAATGCATATGATATCTATGGCGACGGAGCTGATACTCGCATCTTTGTTTTTCATATTTTTCTTGGATTAATATGGTTATTCGGCAGTCTAGATGATTGTCGTTTGGCTTCTATTTTTATTATGATGTTGGTGATGCTTTTCTTGCCTATGTTTAGGTGGAATAAAATAATTTTTATGGTTTTATGGATGCATTTTACTCAACTAGTGTGGATTATGTTTCTGTTGGTTTGGTGGTGTGAGGATATTCAACTACAGGCAAAAGAAGAGAAGGACCGCGAGGGGAAGGGGCGTGAATGTTTGTTTTTACGAGGATGGTTGGCTGGTCTTATTTGCAGAAGAGGTTCTCTGGTCTCATCAAACTAGATACACAGAATAGAAGATGTATTGGTGTTTATATGGATGGGGTTTATAGGGCCTCGGCTATATTGGAACCCGACGGGAAGTCGGTTTGAGCTTGCTTATAGTATTTTCGGGGGTTTGTTGAGGTTTCCAGCGGTGGTAAGGATCCAGCTTGGTTCTTTGGACAATATCACAGGTCTCTTTAAACCTGTAATTCTCGCTCGACAGAGCATGCTATTGTTTACTTTATGCGAGTCATAAGTTGGAATTGCAGGGGAATGGGAAGCAAATGGACTATTAGTTATCTCCGTGAGATATGGTATAAAAATAAACCGGATTTTTTATTTTTAGCGGAAACAAAACAATAATCTCCTAACGTACAGGGTTTTCAAGCTCACTTAGGTTATAATTATCTGGTCACGGTCGAGATGAATGGGAGAAGTGGTGGTTTAGCTTTATTTTATAATAAGGACTATCAAATTCAAGTTCCATATACGAGTAATCGTATGATCAATGTAGAAGCGATTATGAT